CCTGGGACTATACGTGCCCGCCACACCGCCGGCTATTTTTTTAGAGATGAGGTCTTACTCTGGCTCAAGCTGGTCTTGAACTCCTGAGCTCAGGCAATCTCCCCGCCTTGGCCTCCCAAGTGCTAGGATTACAGGTGTGAACCACTGTGCCAGGCCCCTAGCATTGTTTTTTCTTTTTTCTACTCTGTTTCAGAAAAGATCCCTGGGTTGAGGAATTTTGTTTTACTGAACCAATTCTGTGGAAATTTATTTTATTAGGGAAATTGGAACAAAGTGGCAGCTATAAGATTATTTTCCTTATGCTTCAGAAATGTGAGGAAGTCTGTGAAACTCTGGTGTGGGGATTAACTTGGAGACCTACTACTCTTTCAGTCTTTATTTTGAGACAATATATCACTCTATTTTCCTAGGCTAGAGTGTCCTGGTGTCAGCCTAGCTCATAACAACTTCAAACTCCTGGATTCAAGTGATCTTCCTCCTTCAGCCTCCCAATTAGCTGGGACTACAGGACCTGCCATAATACCTAACTATTCTCTATTTCTAGTAGAGTCAGGATCTCAGTCTTGCTCAGGTTGGTCTTGAACTTCTGACCTCAAGTGATCCTCCTGCCCCAACCTCCTAGAGCAGTGGTTCTCAACCTTCTTAATGCCTCCTAATGCTGCAACCCTAATTTAATACAGGTCTTCATGTTGTGGTGACCCCCAACTATAAATTATTTTCGTTGCTACTTCATAACTGTAATTTTGCTACTGTTATGAATCATAATGATATGCAGGATGTATTTTCATTGTTACAAAGGGGTTGCGACCCACAGTTTAAGAACTGTCCTAGAGCACTAGGATTACAGGCGTGAGGTATTGTGCCTCAACTTTTTTTTTCTCTTAAGATACGGTCTTATTCTTTGGCCCAGGCTACAGTGTAGTGATATTATCACAGTTTACTGTAGTCTCAAACTCCAGGGCTCAAGCACTCCCTGGCCTCAGCCTCCTGAGTAGCTGGGACTAAAGGCACATACCACCACACCTAGTTAATTCTATTTTTTGTAGAGATGGGGTCTCACTGTGTTACTTAAGCTATTCTCAAACTCCTGGCCTCAAGCAATCCTCCTGTCTCAGCCTCCCAGAGTGCTGGGATTACAGGCAAGAGTCATGTGCCCAGCCCTATGGTCATTTTAACTGTTGGTTTTGTTTCTAAAATGTTTTTTCTTTTACAGTGATGCATCAGTGAAATGGTGCTGACAGTTTTTATGAAGTGGTTATGAGCAGGTCTAATAAATCTTCTACACAAGTGTTTGAGTCAATAATTTTAAAACATAAAAAGTGGAAATTTCCTCTTTTTTAGACAGTAGGAGCAAGGATTATATGCATTTTTACTACATAGTAATTTTAATGAATTATAAACATTTTTACAGTGAGTTTTATTAACAGAATGCTTCATCTTAAATTCGAAAACAATAATGTTGGATTTAAACATTTTTTGTACTAAAGCATTTACTGTAATTATTTAAAAAAAAAATAAGCCAGATGAAAGCCTTAGAGAAAAGCATGTAAGTTACAATGATTTGCCTATTAAAAATTATAATCTAGTAGTTTTAAATATTTAATTTCTTTGGAGAGTTTTTTAATTGTAGTGTTAACCATAGTTCCAGGATTTTCCACATTTTTTAGTAGTATTTTGTAGAATGTTATATGTCCTAATTAGCAGATACAGTCCTCATCAAATTACAGTAGTGTAATTATCCTTTTTAGTATTGAAGAAAGAAAAAATGAAAATTCATTGGTTAATTACTGCTTTGTACTATGCGAACTTATTAACAAATAACTATTATATGTAGGTCATTGTTAACAAACTAACATCCATGAAAACTTCTGTGAAAATTTAATGTTTTATATTCTGATTAATTAATACATTGTGATTTTAAGCCCATTACTTCACGTGTTTTACTTTGACAGAGCTAATCCCTAAAATTGCTTTCTACCTTAGCTTATCAAATAAAGTATTATTTTGTGGATCAGAGGCCAAAAAGTCAATGCAAGCTTCTCATAGGTTTTTAAAGCACCACTAAAAATAATTATTCACTGTCTTCACTTTTTCGTTTTAGACCAGAAGAGTTAGTAACTCTGGTGGAGCCTTGTATTTACCTACCGAAAACAATTAAATCTGATTAATTGCTAAAACCAAATCTCTTAGTCTCAAGTGCTATACTATTCAAGTTTTAAATGGAAAAGGGAATTATGGAGTAATAAAATTTTGGTTTTACTATACCCTTTTGTTATGAAGATAATATGCATGGTTGAACTCTTGTCTTTTTTGGGAATTGAGCAACTGTCTGCTTTTAACCCTTTGCTCTTCTAGAAAAA